TGTTAGAAAATGGAAGAGGCTAAAGACGTCTGTCAGTCTCCTTCGGACTGGTGCTCCATGCAAGATCTCACCTCGTGGGATATCACTGATGATAAGAAAGGTGAGGAATCAGCCCAGAACTACAAGGGAGGAGCTGGTCAATGACATGAAGAGAGCTGGGACCACAGTTTCAAAGGTCACTGTCGGTAGAACACTACGCTGTCATGGTTTCAAATCATGCATTGCATGGAAGGTTTCCCTGCTCAAGTCATCACATGTCCAGGCTCATCTGAAGTTTTCCAATGACCATCTGGATGATCCAGAGGAGGCATGGGAGAAAGTCAAGTGGTCAGATGAGACCAAAGTAGAACTTTTTGGTCTAAACTTCACTCGTCGTGTTTGGAGGAAAAAGAAGGATGAGTTGCATTCCAAGAACACCATCCCTACTGTGAAGCATGGGGGTGGCAACATCATGCTTTGGGGGTGCTTTTCTGCAAAGGGGACAGGACGACTGCGCTGACGGCCATTTATTGTGAGATTTTGAGCAACAACCTCCTTCCCTCAGTCAGAGCATTGAAGATGGGTTGTGGCTGGGTCTTCCAACATGACAACGACCCGAAGCACACAGCCAGGATAACCAAGGTGTGGCTCCGTAAGAAGCATATCAAGGTTCTGGAGTGGCCTAGCCAGGTCTCCAGACCTAAATCCAATAGAACATCTTTGGAGGGAGCTGAAACTCTGTGTTGCTCAGCGACAGCCCCAAAACCTGACAGATCTAGAGACGATCTGTTTGGAGGAATGGGCCAAAATCCCTGTTGCAGTGTGTGCAAACCTGGTCAAGAACTACAGGAAACGTTTGACCTCTGTAATTGCAAATAAAAGGCTTCTGTACCAAATATTAACACTGATTTTCTCAGGTGTTCAAATACTTATGTTCAGCAGTGCAAGACAAATAAATTCTTTAAAAATCATACAATGTGATTTCCTGAATTTTAGGAACATTGTAGGTGGGAATGCACCTACAATGTGAATTTCAGACCCCCCCATGATTTCTAAGATGGAGAACTTGCAAAATCGCAGGGTGTTCAAATACTTCTGTTCCTCACTGTATATCCAGCAATCCCCTTAACACATGTATTTAACCCCTAGTTGAAAATCAGAAGGAAGATTAAACGTATAGAGGGAAAACAACTATGAAGAACAGAGTGGCGAAAGGAGGAGGAGTTAAAATACCCAAAACTACTATAGGAACAATTAAAAATGATATGCTCCCACAGTAGAAAAGTTCAGGAGGTTTATCACTGGAGAGACAATGGAAACCTAATGGTAGACAAGACACAGAAAATAGCAGTGGAGACCAATCTGGACTGTCATTAGAGATTACGGATCTGAATCCAGGTAAAGAAAGACCAAAACTCAAGATGGGATAGACCTTTAACAGAGGAAACAAATGGATAGAGTTCATTAGAAAGAATGCCCCAAGGAATGACTCTCACCAAGAATGATCGTAAGAATTACCACTACTAGGCAATGATCTGGGAGATAAGGAAACACCCTCATCAAATATGGGGCAACTTTGCAGATCTATGCAGATTTAGCCCCAGTTTCAGAGACGAAGTATTGCGAAAAAAAGATCTACAATGTTAATGGATGCAAAGATGATCGACCCAGCTAGATTGAGGTTCCCAGGCTCAGAATTTTGTGGAAGATTAGACTGCAAATACCATGCAAGGATAGAGGGAGGAATGGAAGAAGGGAGATGGCTATAAGTGACGTAAGGAGACGTTCAAAGAATAAAGAATAATTATCTAGATTCAATAGAAGCAAAATGGTGAAAAGGAGCTTTCTTTCTTTCTCTTCTTTCTCTCTTCTCTTCTCTCATCCCTGATATTATACTCTTAGCCTGCCTCTCCCCTCTCTATCTCTCAGGCGCCCTGTTTTTTCCTGTCTATATATCCAAGTGTAATCAAGGGAAAATATGGAGGTTGGATGAATAAAAGATATAATATTGGCGGGAAAAAGGAGGCCAATACACTTTTGGACCCACACTCTATAAGGGGATGGGGTCAGGGAGCGGTACCATAGACAGAGCCTTACCCCAATTAGAGGAAGGAGAGGAGTTATCCCACAACAGATCCAAAGGCCTAACACAGTGAGCCATAGGTTTTTTAAAGGGGGGAGGGAAAAAGGGGAGAGGGTGGTGGTAAGGTTGGGTTGTGGTGGAGGGGGATTGTGGAGATGGAGAGAGGAGAAAAAGAAGTAAGGGGATGGGGGAAGTAAAGAGGAGGGAAATGAAAGAAAAATATTTGTCTCGTTTTTCTGCCGGTCAAAACAAATCCAAAAAAGGAAAAAAAAATAAAAAGAAATAATTAAAAATAGGAACATAGAAAAAAAGAAAATTAAAAAAAACTGAAAATTTTAAGCGACATGTGCAACGTTCAATGAATTAGTTAGAGATGACGAACCTGAATGGCAAAGTCAAGGCGGGTTACGATTATCCATGAAAAATTCGATAATCCGAAAATGAACAAACTCAGAACGAATTTTCCCAAGGGCGGCGAGAAGCGGGGATTCTAAGAAGGCGCGCTGACCCATAAAATGATATTCTATGACATGTGATCGCATTAGCCAATCAAGTGTAATATAAAGAATCTGCGACCATAGAAATTCTCCATTAGCCGCCTCATTCATCCGTATTAGGACATGAGTTAGGGCCAGAGGACTTTAGGCCACCTTACTTAGGACACAGAATTGTTCGTTATTTAGGGACTCAGAACGTGACTCAGGGACACAGAATTGTTTAAGGGCCACAGAATTGTACTGCAGGGACAGACAAACTCAGGACACCAGACAGAATTTTTACTGACACAGATTGTTAATCTGAGGGACACATACTGAGGACACAGAATTCACACAGAATTGTTATCAGGGACACTGAAATTGTTACGCAGCGGACAGACACAAATGCCCCCTCAGGACACAGAAATGTTACGGAGGAAAAAATTGTTACTCGGACTAGAAACAGGACACAGAATTGAGACAGTGGGACACAGTCGAATGTTACTGAGGACACAGAATCGTTTACTCAGGGACACAGATTGTTACTCAGGGACACTAGGACACCGAATTGTTACTGAACACAGATACTGCAGAAAATCGTTACTCAAATATCTCAGGACACAGAATCGTACCATGGACACAGAAATGTTACTCAGGACACAGAATACTACTCAGGACAACAGAATTGTTACTCAGCATCGTTTAAGCGGACACAGAATCGTTACTCAGGACACAGAATTGTTACTCAGGGACTCAGGACAGACACCGACTTGATTACTCAGGACATCAGAAATGTTACTCAGGGACACAGAATTGTTACTGAGGGACATTGAATTGTTACTGAGGGGACACAGAATCGTTACTTCACACAGAATAGGGACACAGAATTGTTACACACAGAATTGTACTCAGGGACACGAATCGTTACTCAGGGACACAGAATACGTTACGAGGAGCACAAGAATCGTTGAGGACACAGAATCGTTACTCGGGACACAGCATTGTTACTCAGGGAACCGAATTGTTAACTCAGGGAACAGACTCAGAATTGTTACTGAGGGACCAGAAATTCGTTTCTCAGGGAAAATGTTACTCAGGGATATCCAGGATTGTGTACTCCAGACACAGACTGCGGGGACACAGAATCGTTGACTCACAGCGAGAAATCGTACGCCAGGGATGCATTGTTACTAGGGACACAAATAGTTACTGGACTCAGGGAAGAATCGGGACTGATCGACTCAGGGACACAGATTTACCAGGGACACAGATTATTTCTAAGGGAGAGACTAGCACAGAATCGTTACGGAGGACACAAGATCGTGTACTGACGGATTGTTATCTCAGGATTGTTACTCACAGGACGAGAACACAGAATTGTTAGAGCAGACTTGTTACTCAGGAAATCGTTACTGAGGGACAGCTGAATTAAATTACTCAGGCACACAGAATTGTGTACTCAGAGGACACAGAATTCTTACTGAGAGACACAAATTGGATACTGAGGAGACACAGAATTCGTTACTGATGGACAAAGAATTGTGACTCAGGGCCACAGAATTGTTACTTGTTACTCCGGGACAGACAGAATCTCAGGGCAGACACAGAATTGTTTATAGAGACACAGATGTTTACTCAAGGACACAGAATTGTTACTGAGGGACCCACAGAATCGGTACTGAGGGACACAGAATCGGTACTCAGGGACACAGAATGGGTTATCTTGACTCAGGGATTCACAGAATCTTACTCAGGACACAGAATTGTTTACTCAGGACACAGAATTGTTAGCTTCGTTTCGTTTGAATCTAAAGAGTATCAGACCCAACCGTCAGTAGGAGTGGCAGAGCAATGTTTCAGGAGCGAGCAGACGTGGCAGCAGAGGAAGGGGTCGAGCAGCACTATTCGCAGCCAGAGGCCAGTGCTCCTCGTGATCCATTAACCGACTTAGCCTTCATCGATTGGTTGCTCGGCTCGTCTTCCTCTTCCCCTGGTCAGACCTCCTGACACCTACATGCCAAACGGTACTGTGGGTACGTCAGACACAACCGTTAGTTGCATGGCCCCGGGACCAAGCCCCACTGAAATCACGGTGTCCTCCTACCTTCCTTTGTTGTTCCCATCACCAAGCGAAGTATCCGCATGCTGTGGGCTCAGCCCCACTGTACAGGGAGGAAGAGCTAACAGAGGGCGGTCAGGAACGGGGGAGACATCCGCCTCTTCAGCAGCCAGGCGAAGAAGTACTGGCGAGGAGAGTGGCTCGGTAGCCGGTCTAGAGACAGGTCTGTCTCCTGAAACCCACACGCAGCCGAGGGGGCTAGTAGTGAGGCGGAGAACCCTAATTGGATGATGATGAGGCTGATCGCACTTGGCAGCCTCGTCGTCATCTGGCCAGGCCCGTAATCTGCCATGGGCCCCCGTACCGACTCCTCATGCCTGCTCGCCAGGCCCCGTAATCTGTCATGGGCCCCTGTACCGCCTCCTCATGCTGCTGCCAGGTCCAGAGTGTGTCATGGGTCCCTGTACGGCCTCCCATTGCTGCGTCTCCATCGCCACACAACTCTGCCATGTGCCACTTTTCAGGTCTCCTCACACTGCTGGTGGGTTCCCATTTTATGTCATAGGGTGCTGGCAGATTACGGGTCCTCCCATTGGCTTCTGCTGCCAGGCCCGTAATCTGCCATGGGCCCCCCCGTACCAGACTCCTCATGCTGCATGCCAGGCCCGTAATCTGTCATGGGCCCCTGTACCTAACCCCGCCTCCTCATATGCTGCTGCCAGTCCAGAGTGTGTCATGGGTCCCTGTAACGGCCTCTCCCATTTGCATTGCTGCTGTCCTCTCCATCGCCAAAAGCACTCTGCCCATGTGCCACTTTCAGGTCTCCTCACACTGCTGGTGGTTCCATTTTGTCATAGGGTGCTGGCAGATTACGGGCCTCCCATTGCTGCTGCCAGGCCCGTAATCTGTCATGGGCCCCTTAATACCGCCTCCTCATGCTGCTGCCAGGTCCAGAGTGTGTCATGGGTCCCTGTACGGCCTCCCATTGCTGCTAGCCAGGCCCCCGTAATCTGCCATGGGCCCCCGTACCGACTCCTCATGCTGCTGCCAGGCACGTAATCTGTCATGGGCCCCTGTACCCCGCCTCCTCATGCTGCTGCCAGGTCCAATGTGTCATGGGTCCCTGTACGGCCTCCCATTGCTGCTGTCTCCATCGCCACACACTGCCATGTGCCACTTTTCAGGTCTCCTCACACTGCTGTGGGTTCCATTTTTCATAGGGTGCTGTATGGCCTCCCATTGCTGCTGCCGGTCCACCGCCACAACTGTGGCTCCACACTCTGGGTTTTGGCCCCGGACGCCCCGTGACTGCCCAAATGAGTGAAGTGTGCCTTACAAGAAACACACTTTTCCCCTTATCTATCACATAGACGCTGACAACTACTTTTGAGTTACCTCTACAACATAACACAAGGGGCTACGCATTATTTGCCTCTATATGCATCTTCCTGCGATCACCATAAATACTGCCATTATGCTTTTCCTACACCTCTGCCCCTTTATTGGCCTTGATAAGGTAACCGATGCTTTAGATCAATACTTCTGCCAGTGTTGCGACTCCAATAAGCTGCTTGGGGAACTGAGACCAGTTGTACCTTCCTCTACCTTTTATCATTTATAATGTTCTGATAATGTTCCGTAATACACTATCTGTTGCATATACTTTGTCATCTACTGTATGCATTTCTGCTCCCATGTGATGCTTGTACCCGCTGTATGCTCTGAGTTCTTTACAAAACATTATGGAAAAAAAAAAAAGAAACACACTTATCTCATGATACAAGAATTAGATTACAATCAAAAAATGACCCAGTTTGGTACTATGCTGATTCTCCAATAAAACGAGCTAAAGGAGTAGCTATAGGGATGGCAAAGAATGTAAGATTCACTATAATGATATGATAGAATGGTGGATCCAGAAAGACGATTTTTATTTCTAAGGGGGAAATTATATGAAATGGAATGTACACTTGCAAATATTTATAGTCCAAATAAGAAATCAATTAGGTATCTGGAGGATATATTAAGGAAGCTAATGGATTTTAAGAAAGGCAAATTGATTATGGCAGGGGGATTTCAACTTTTGTATGGATCATAAACTGAATTCATCGCATGTACAGAGGGATGGAGGTAAGGGTTTAAGACAAAAAAAAAATTGCATCAATACTAATTTGTAGATGCATGGAGAATAAAACATTTAGATGTAAAGGACTATACATTCTATTCCTCAGTACATGTGACATATTCTATATTGAATTATATAATGATAGAACCTAGATTATTGGAGTCATTGATTAAATCCAGTATAGAAGTTACATCACTGTCAGATCATGCACCGGTTACAATAAGGTTGAAAGTGGGGAATGAACAAAATAAAAGATTCTGCATGGAAATTAAATGAAAACACTTATACAAGATCAGGAGACAGAAGAAAGAATACAAAAAGAAATAGAGCAGTACTTTCAATTTAATGAAACGGAAGAAGTTTCGATTGCTACGGTTTGGGAAGTTCACAAGGCATAAATAAGGGGTATGCTGTTTTCAATAGGGACAGAAAAAAATTAAAAAAATTACTGGAAAAGATAAATACAGTAATTACATGAATTAGAGCAAATACATTAAAAAGGGATGGAAACTGTAATATATAGGAAGATAATATTAACCACCTCCCGCCCGCCATATAGTAATATGACGGGCGCAAGGTGGTTCTCTCGTTCTGGGAGGACATCATACGACGTCCTCCCATTCTCACTGCGCATGCGCGGCTGAGGGAGTGCGCAGTGCAGCGATCGGCGGTGCACTGTGCCACTTGGACACAGCGGATCACCGATCACGGAAACAGCCAAAGATGTTGGCTCGGACATGTGATCAGCTGTGTCCAATCACAGCTGATCACATGTAAACAGGGAAATGCCGGTTATCAGCATTTCTCTCCTCTCGAGCTGTCACGCTGACAGCTCGAGAGGAGAGCCGCGGAGGGGACATGTACACTGATCATCAGGGCACTGATGATCAGTGTGCCCTGATGATCAGTGTAGCCCCAGCAGTGCCACCTGTCAGTGCTCATCAGTGCTTCGTGCCAGTGCCACATATCAGTGCCTACCAGTGCACATCAATGCCACATATCAGTGCCCATCTGAGCTGCCTTTCAGTGTCACCCATCAGTGCCAGTCAGTGCCACCTATCAATGCTGCCAATCAATGCCACCTATCAGTGCTGCCAATCAGTGCCACCTATCAGTGCCAGTCAGTGCCGCCTATCAGTGCCAGTCAGTGCCGCCTATCAGTGCGCATCAGTGCCACCTATCAGTGCCTGTCAGTACCGCCTATCAGTGCCTGCCAGTGCCACCTATCAGTGCCAGTCAGTGCCGCCTATTAGTGCCAGTCAGCCGCCTATCAGTGCTGCCTATCAGTGCCATATATCAGTGCCATGTATCAGTGCTGCCTTTCAGTGCCCATCAGTGATGCCTATCAATGCCCATCAGTGCCACCTACCAGTGCCTCCTCATCAGTGCCCATCAGTGCCACCTATCAGTGCCCATCAGTGCCACCTATCAGTGTCCATCAGTGCAGCCTATCAGTGCCTATCAGTGCAGCCTCATTAGCGCACGTCAGTGAAGGAGAAAATCACTTATTTACAAAATTTTATAACAAAAACTAAGAAATAACATTTTTTTTCAAAATTTTCAGTGGTTTTTGGTTTGTTTAAGAAAAAATAAAAAACCCAGAGGTGATTAAATACCACCAAAATAAATCTCTATCTGTCACAAAAAAAATGATAAAAATTTCATATGGGTACAGTGTTGTTTGACCGCGCAATTGTCATTCAAAGTGCGACAGCACTGAAAGCTAGAAATTGGCCTGGGCAGGAAGGGGGTATAAGTGCCCTGTAGGCTAGTGGTTAAAAGAGCAGAACTAAGTAACCTAATGGAACAGGAGACAAATTGAGGTTTTAATTTGTAGTTAGAAGGAAGATGTCAGTGGGGAAATAAGTTTGGGAAATATTTGGCAAGGATGTTAAGGAGAAAGAAATCAATTAATTGTATAGGAAATATCAGAGATAGATTAGGGAAAATAGTATATTCAACTAAATTAAGTGTGAGTGTATTTCAAAAATATTATAGTTCCCTTTACGCAGTAACCTAAAAGAATCCAAGAGAATTGGAGAAGGACAGAAATAAAAAAAATTACCTAAATTAGAGGAAGAAAGATTAGCAATGTTAGATAATCCAATAACACAAGAAGAAGTGCTTGAAGCTTTTAGGAGTGCACAAGCAGGGAAAAGTTCAGGGCCAGATGGATACACTGTAAGCTATTATAAGATGTTTAAAGAACAACTTATCCCAAAAATGTGTGTGTATATGAATGCATTAGGAGAGGGAATACAAATAAGAAAAGAATCGCTTTTAGTACATATAACAATCATTCGTAAAGAAGGTAAAGACTTATCACAATGTGTCAGCTGTAGGCCAATAGCATTATTGAACATAGACAGAAAACTGTATGCAAAAGTCATAGCTAACAGGATGAAAGATTTAATGTCAGAGTGGATTCATATGGATCAAGTGGAGTTTATACCAGGGAGACAAGGAAGAAATAATGGTCTGAGGTCACTGCTATTGCTACAGAAGAGTGTAGGAAGGAGGGGTCCCCAGTCTTATTCCTGTCAATAGATGCTGAAAAAGCATTTGACATGGTAGACTGGGGATTTATGATGAGTACTTTAGAAACAAAAGGATTAGGACCAAAAATTATCAAATGGATTACATCTTTATATAGCTACCCTTCTGCAGCGGTAAAGGTTAATGGCTCATTGTCAGATTAGTTTGATTTATACAACGGAATGAGACAAGGGTGCCCACTTTCACCGCTATTATTCGTTCAATCTGTAGAGCCTTTGCTAGCAACAATATGGCAGAGCGTACATATAAAAGGGCTTCAAATTGGAGAAATAGAACGTAAAGTGGCAGCGTACGCAGATGATATGCTGTTTTATGTAGCAAATCCTAGAGTAACATTACCAAACCTCATGAGAATGTTAAAACATATGGAGAATTATCAAATTTTAAAATTAATCTTTCAAAATCGGAGATACTGTCCCAAAGGTAGAAAGACAGTCTCTACAAGAAAAGTTCCCATTTACTTGGAGGGACAAAGAACTTAATTATTTAGGGGTAAAGTTGACTCCATCACTTAGGACAAATTATATACCATTATTAAATGAGATTAAGGAGGAGTTGAGGAAAACTTCAAATAGATCTTTTTCCTAGGACGTATAAACATAGTGAAGATGTGAAAGTGCCTAAAATTCTGTATAAATTCCAAATGCTGCCAATCTACCTACCGCAAACGTATTTTAAAGTTTTAAAAAGAAGGATAACGAGATATATATGGGTAAATAAAAAACTTAGGGTGAAGTATGAAGTGCTATGTAAAGATAAAATAAATGGGGGTTTGAATGTGTCGAATTTCAAAAGACATTATTTTGCAGTATTACTATCACGAATAATAGAATGGGTATATAATGCATGGGGAAAAAGTTGGGTAGGGATTGAACAAACACTAAGTGATGCACAATTAAATATAATTATTTGTGTTCCACAACAATACCGGATGCTTTCGGTAAACACTAGCATTTTAACAAAAACATTTATTTAAGATATGGGATTCAATTCATAAATTATCAATTTAAAAACTTTGTCACATCTCTTTCACAATCACTAAGAGAGGTTAAAAATATGTATCCATTTCAGCAATTGTTAAACTCAGATGTAATACAAAAACATGGTAACTCACGTAGTTATAAGACACTGACTATACAATGTGAGCTCATTATACCATCATTTATAGGGAAATGGGAAAATGAGTTGGGAATGCAGTTGAGTGAGGAGAAGATATTTAGAATCGCACATGGGGCGGTGGATGTGAGTACGGTAGAGATAAACTATAAACTGCTGGTAAGATGGTATATTACACCTAGTAGAGCCCACAAACAACATCCAGAGAATTCTATGTATTGTTGGAGAGAAAGTGGGATGGAGGGTACAATAAAACATATTTGGTGGGATGGCCCCAAAATTCAGGAATACTGGCAGAAAATAATGCAACAAATACAGGAGTACCTCAGTTTACGAATTTAATGAGTTCTGCGGGACGTTTTATATTGTGAAAAATTTGTAAACTGATATGCGATTTCCCATAGGAATGCATTGTAAACCAATTAACCCGTTCCAGAGGTCAAAAAAAGTAAAACAAAAGTATTTTATCTGTTCAAAACTCTTTATAAAGTGCACTTTAAAGGCATAAATACTGTACAGGGATATGATTAAAAAAAATTCGTAAATGCATTGAAAACCAATTCATAACTATGAATAGTGCTAAACAAATATAGTGTCAACCCAAATTAATGACAATAACTGTGCCTCTCA